TAGTCCAAACTAGAGTATAATCAGTCGGCTTCTTCAAAATGTCACCTGAATCATCTTTTCCCACCAAAACCCAACCAAAAAGTGGTTGGTTATTCGGTTGGGCATAGCAACCAAACATGGAAAATCCATCTGGTACTTCAGATGGCTCGAAAACCGTTGCACCAAGGTTGTCTGATCCACCTTCATATGTCGACCAAACTTTGTTGAAAGATGATACTTGGCGCACTCGGAGTCCTCCCAGGTCGATCTCACCACTAGCAAAGTCACCACCTGCATAATGCAAGGATCACTATACAATACTCGTTAATGTTAAAAAAGAAAAAGAAGCTCGATATGAGAACCTGATGGCCAAGAGGGCAATGGAGAAGGAAGCTTGAAAATGGTGTCAATAGGCAAAGATATGGCTTCCTCGTTTGAGGTAGAGACAGAGCTGCTCCTAAGAGAATTTCCCATGGCCAATAATCTTGTCAGAACAATCAAGAAAAATGTAATAAATTCGTCAGAACCTATTATCATATATGCTCATAGAAGGATATTAGAATAGATGGCCAAGTCTAACAAGCATATTCCACGTACATAGGGATGAGAAGAAATTTGAAGACAGGGTCCACCTTGAAGAAATAGAACCCCAATCAAGTTGCCGTGCAAATTATAATCACCCACCACAACATAGATGGTATCTATCTTGTTTCCTTTATTAATGATTCTTCAAAGAAAAAATATCCAACTCAAAAACCATTGAAAAATTATAATCACCACAAAATATTATTGGGTTCGAATTATTCGATTGGACTGGGAGATTAATCAAATTCTTTGGGTGGTTACAAGATGAAATTATTTTTAATGATTTTAATATTTAGAATCATTGGTTTTAATGATGGGTTCCATGGCCTAGAAGAGAAACGAATTTCGATGAAGAAAATAAGACAAATTAAAGAAAAGAAAAAATGATTATCGGGTTTTTGAATATAGGAAAATGAGTCCTTGTTTGAGCTCTGTTTTTTTCAAATGCATTCTTGAACAATTATATGATCATATTACAATCGCATTCAATAAAATAATATCATACGTAAATTTAAATATTTTTCTTATTTTTTAACAACACATTCTTTATTATAATACTGTTGCAAAATGCATTTTTTATTAAAAAAAATAAGGCTCGAACAAGCTCTAAATTACTTTTGACATTTTTCACATAAGAGTTTACGAGCATTTTGAGTACCCTTCCTTTGCAATTCTTTTTCTTTTTGGCTTTTGACCCTCTTAATTTATTTCATTGTCAACCACAATGTAATTCACAATTTAAATTCAAACAATTTTTTTTTTTTTGAACTATAGTTCGATATTTCTCATCTTCAATCTACCGTGGTCGGTGGTAGGATTTGATACTTGATGTCCGAAATAATAAATGTGACAAAAATTTTGAGTGAGCCTACCGCCTATAACCTAGGCTATTTAGCCCCTGTTTGACACCTATTTTTTTCACATTCTATTTCTCTTTTTTCATTTCAACTACACATTATATTAATAAAATAATATTACACATAAACCCAAAAATTTTCCTTACTTTTTAACCACGCAATCTTACCATTGATCACTATTTCAAAAAAAAATTTTCAAACAAAATGAGTGTCAAACAAGGACTTAATTATGTTTGAATTTTTTTCGATCTTCGCTGAATTTAAATCAACAAGCATTATAAAAGTAGTGAGATGAGATGCTAGAAACTAACTTTATACGTAATTGCTAGGTGAGGGTTAGATGAAATTGAAAATTGTCATGTTTTAAAATCGGGCTAAATTCTCTAATGGTCGCCCAACTTTATATTTAGTATCAACATAATCACCAAGTTTGATTTTATTTCATCATAACCATCGAATTTTATATTACATTTCATCAGGCAATCTCATATAACATTTCACTATGAACACTCAATTTCTTTTCACTATTTTCACTAATTTTAAAAGGGATTAAAAGGTAATTTTGTATTATATATAAAATAAATTAAAAAATAAACAAAAATAAAAGTTTTTGTTTAAAATTTTAGTAACATATATTTTACAATAAGTTTTTATTTTACTTCAAAAAACGTTTTTTTAAATAAGTTTTTATTTTATTTTATTTTTTAAGAATGTCTTTTTTGAAATGAATTTTTATTTTATTTTATTTTTCTAAGTATTTTNTCAATTTTAAAAACGTTTATTTTAATAAAATAAGTTTTCATTTTATTTAAAAAACGAATTTTCAAATAAGTTTTTAATTTATTTTATTTTTCTAAGTATTTTTTTTAAATATCTTTTTTATTTTATTTTATTTTTCTAAGTAACTTTTTTTAATAAGTTTTTATTTTATTTTATTTTTTAAAATAAGTTTTTATTTTAATTTTTTAAAATTTGTTTTATATATAATGCAAAATTACAATTTTACCACTTTTAAAATTAGTGAAAAGAAGTTGAGTGACCATAGTGAAATATTATATGAAAATGGATGGTCATGCTGAAAAATTATATGAAATTGGATGATCATAGTGAAATAAAATCAAATTAGGCGAAGAAATTTTGCCTTTTAACATTGTGCATCTAAGTGCCCCATCAATAATTTTGGACCCGAAAACGGAATTATTTAAGAATTCTATAATATATGGCTTGCTCACGGAACTNNNTAATATATGGCTTGCTCACGGAACTCCACTTGATATTAACACATTTCATGGAAACTTTTGAGATTAATTATTTCAAATGCATTCAAGTTTTGGCAAGCAAAAAAGTAGCTTTCGAAGACAATTATTTTTGGAATTCTCTCGTAATTTTTCTTTAAAAAATAATGATGAAACAAAAATCATATATGTATATTCCAAGTCATTAAAAATTGAACGAATTTGTGTGGATAAGTAGAATGGCCAATTCTTATCCTATCTCGTCAGATATTTTTGTTACTTTATCCCGTCCCCATACCAGGTTAACGAGGGACGAGACAGGGATCGAAGCGGGGTGAGGCTAGGCGAGGTAGGGGACCTACCTCATTTATCAGGCCCGTTTCTTTTTTTTATTCATTTTATTTTTTGTTTTTTTTTAATGTCTTTAATTAATAAATATTATTACTTTTTTCTTCAATTTGTTAAGAACAATTTATATTCTCTTTAAAAGTGATGATGAATCTTTTATTTTTGATAAAAAATTTGAATTTGAAATTGATTTTAAACAAGGTGGGTAACTGGTCGGGGACTATATTTCTCATCCCCGTCCTCGTTTCATTTACTCGGTTAGAAGGGTAATCCCCTCCCATTTGGGACGGGTTGCGAATATCGAATTGAATGAATTTTTTTGCCATTCCTAAAAAGCAAATAATATTTATAGATTTGAAAAAAGAAAATTACGTCAGACCTTACCTTTTAACTTAACTTTCCATTTCAATAACCAGACAATAAAGTTATTCTTTCAAAAATTAGGTATACCCCACCAGTTTCCACGCCACAACCCACCAACTTAACCCGAATTCATTTCCCTAAACCCAAAGGTTCAATCTCCTGTGACTGCAACTTCATTCCACAAGTAGACTATGGTAGCACGCTTGCATATGCACACACATAACGACGACCATCAACACTGCATTGTCGCAACAAGATTGGTGCCGCACTGTTGTTCGTTGTTGTGTGTGCAGTGGTATATGCGATGGTTAGATAGAGAAAGGATGTGAATCTACAGTGGTGGTAGATTGTGGATCTAAAACGACAATGCGTTTTGGGTGGTGCTGATGACAGACAAATTTGTCAAATTTAAGCGTATATCTTTAAAGATTTGTAATCATGTATTTTTTTTCCCTTGAAAAAAGGCGTGTACATAAAAAAATTGACTATTTATAAATAGTTGTATATTTATACTAGTTTTTTCTTCTGCAATGCACGGGCATGTGTTGTATCGTTTTGAAGGTAATATTAGCGTGTTAAATATTAAAGATTGAGAAAAGATATGGGCATTAAACGAGGTTAGTAAAATGAAGTTAATTTGATGAGGTAAATTTCCATATGATTTCTTTCATAAAATACAGTTATGAAGTGTCTTTAAAGCACGGTAAATCATTTTTGAGAAAGCATATTGATTGTAACATCTTATTCCTCAGGTTCTATCTGCTAGAAAATATTGAAGAGAGATAAGTTATTAGTATGTATATATGATGCAAAGCAGAGGTACAGTGGACTTGGATAATAGACGTTAGCTTTCCCAATTGGAAGATAAAAACTGTAATTAAGAGTTTACTGTATCTGTGATACAAAGAGTTATTAATATAAACTGAGGGTGGTACTGAAAATTAAAAGCAGCGAATCAAATCTGAATACTCATAGCAATTCATTTTGATCTGGATCCCTTATAGCAGCTTTCAACCCGTTAATCCATGCTGCATGGCACTGCCAGAGAGAGAAAAAAACAAAAAAAAAGAAGAGTGACATGGTAGGAAACATTGAATTGTGGGACAGCAGTGTGAACTTGCAAGCAGACAATGTCAAAAGATAGCCATAAGAATCAAAAATAGTCCACAAGGTGCACCACCATCTAATTTAGTAATTTTATTGTTTTGTGTTAATAGTCTTATCATATTTAAAAAACTGAGCTGATTTTTTAGAAAGAAAAGGAGAACTCTTCCTTGGATGTTAACCACAGATTATAGACTTCATCTGAAGCATGAAGCATGATACTGTGCAAGAAAATAATGATGGACGAAATGAAACTCACGCCCGGGAATGTCGAGCCCTAACACCAGCAGCAACACCATTTGGACCTTTGAAAACAATAGGTAGTGATATCTGACCGGCTGACATAATTTGATTTTGCAGCAGAATTAATAATGTTTCATTAAAAAGTAAGAAAAAATTTTGGGTTTACGTGTAAAATTATTTTATTGAAGATTGTGTTGTTGAAAATGAGTTTTGAGAAAATGTATTTCTGAAAAAATGGGGCTCAAACAAGTGGTAACATTCTTTGCTTGACAATTGGTTTTTCACTTCAGCTTGCAGCTTGCATGTTGTTTGGCTAAGCCTGAAAAAAGTAGTTGTTTAAGCTTAGTCACACGTATTCACAAGCTTAAAAATTACTTT